ACTTACTAGTAGTAGACCCTTACAATCTCAGACCACAAAGGTATGAATATAAGGCACCACAGTGCCAAGAGGCCCAGAATGTCCCGGCACCAGTCCAAGAGCAATAGCGGAAGAAGGAAAGACAAGGTTACAATGGGTCATTCCCGTTATTCTAGATCTCTAAAACTCTAAATCTAGGGATCTAGAATAACGGGAATGAAAGACATTCAACRGACAGACTGAGAATTGCCGGCTCGATGCCAGTCTTTATAGGAATTTGGAATCTTAAATAATTTTCAACGTAAAGACTAAAAAGACTCAAACGCGCGCCATGGTTCAAAGTAAAACATGAACTCATTTTCTGCTTGAAATTGAGAATAAAATATGCAGAAAATGAGTTCATGTACTACGCTAACAAGTCCACAGAGTAGAGTAAGACAAGAACTCATTTTCTGCATATTCTCGATTTCGAGCAGAAAGTGAGTTCATGTCTTAGTCTATGGTGTTAACAAACACACTAAAAAACAACAGTTTCCTTCCAGCAAAACAAAAGGCAACATCGAACATTGACAATGGGAGTAGTGGAAGTGATCACGATGTACTGGTACATTCATCTGAATAACCAAAGTTATTGGCAAAAGCTCTCTCCCGAGGAGCGTCGTAGGAGGGACAGGAGAACCCCAAGGATTGCAATCAGGAGATATGCTGATTCCCCCTTTCTCCATTTGTTCCACTCTGGGGATGACCAAGCCCTACTGAACTGCTGTGGGGTCAACCACAGGGTCTTCAGGGAGCTTGTTGATGTGTTTGCTCCAGTATACAACAAGTTTACCGTCAACAATGACAATGAGATTGTGGAGGTTCCTTGTTTCTCCAGTGGCAAGCCCAAAGGGAAGAAAAGGGAGGTCGATGCAGTCTGTGCAATAGGGTTGGTCCTTTACTGGTATAGGACACGGGGATCTGTTGCAAGGTCAATGGCAATGGCCTTTGGCTTAACATCCACAGTGATGTACAAGTGGCTCAAGTTTTCAAGAAGAGTGATGCTGGTTGCTCTTCACAAGCGTCCAGAGTCCATGGTGAGTGTGCCAACAAAGGAAGAAGTGGATACTTATGTTAAGGCTATTGGAGACAAGTATCCAAGGCTTGGAGAAAAACACGTATGGGGTGCTGCTGATGGTCTCAAGAGCGCCATTGAAGCATCTGAGGACTGGTTCAAGCAGAGAGCCTTCTACAACGCCTGGAAGGAGAACACCTTTGTCAACAGTGTGTTTGTMTTTGCACCAGATGGTAGAATCAGGATTGCAGTCTTCAACTGTCCAGGCGCGTGGCATGACAGCGCCATTGCCGACCATGGTGTCTATGAGAGGATTGAGGAGGTTCATCACAGGTGTGATGGGGCCAAAATTGTTGTTGATTCAGCCTTTGCCTTGAAGGAAAGGGCCAATATCCTCATCAAAAGCTCACAGCATGACCCAGAACAGGAGGATCTCCTCCTCATCAACAGGGACGCGACGTCGTTGAGACAGATGTCTGAGTGGGGGATGAGAATGATTCAAGGACAGTTTCCAAGAATCAAAGACAGGATGTTCTTGGAGGAGCATGGGGATAGGAAGATCATCATGAACTTGTTGATCAACCTCTACAACTACCAATGTAGTACTGTAGGACACAACCAGATCCTATCGACATTCATGAGGACGCCAGCAGCAACTGATCCGGAAGAACCTTACAAGAAGATAGATCTTGCAAGGGGTTTCTTCTATGTAGGACGCGACATATCCCCCCATGGAAACAACGTGTTCGGGTGATTCCCATGGTCAGTTAAAGGTTAACACCAGTTAAGAAAGATTAAATGTAATTAGATTCAATGTATTTAGCAGAATCCTATTCTAATCCCGCATTGGTATGCACAAAAACCCATACTAACAGGAATAAGTAGAATCCCTACTACGGCATACTTCGACGGATAGGAATACTGCCAGGAATACTGCTTGCATACTGCATACTGTGGATACTACAGTCGATACTCACTAAATTCATTACATTCAATGTAAAATAGTTCATTTTGATTAGTGCTTAAGCAAACTAACCAACGTTGTTGCCTTTTTAGTTGTTTTCACCATGGGATTCTTCTCCCGTGGTGGCCTCCTTACGGGGGCGTTTGTCGGCGGACTGGTAAGACGTAGCGTCGTGGTGGTTTGTTTCGTCGTTGTTTGTTCTGTCCTGAAGAACCGGCTGGAGCTGTTGAGTGCTTTGCCATTGCTGGAAGCAAGTCATTGCCATTGCCAGAGCATTCTTCMACATCAGATTGGTCTCCTTAGCAATTTGGCTTGCCTCCTTTGCAATCTTGGACTGCTCTAAAGCCATCTCACGATTTTCTTTGTCCCTTGCTTTCTGGCTAATCAAATACTCATTGAATATAGTAGCGTCGGGAGCTTTCGAGTAAGGTCTCTTACTCGATGGAGTAGCAGAGGACTGTACTTTAGAGGGCTGCACAATGGGAGAGTCAACAGAAGACGCGTCTCCAAGGCAGAGAATGGGTGCTCTTCCTTGCTGCACTTCAGCAGAGGGGATCGTCTCCAACCCCCCTATCTCGAAAGCCCCATCAGCATCAACAACAGGGAAGCCTGTCTTCATATCAAAGTCCTCCTCACCAGTACCAATGTTTGCCTTCTTTCCAATCAAGAAATGGGCGCGCCTGGCAAGCTTCACGTACCTCGGCATGTTGGGGTTGCCGGTTGAGCTCCTCATTCTTTTGATGGCACTATACTTGTTCCTGATGGATTTCTTGCTCCTGTCAAAGGGCCATGTTGTAGCATGCTTGGCTACAACTGTATTCCACTGTTCTGAATCAATTGGTAGCACTTCCACTATCAACTCCATGAGGCTATCTAGCTCTTCATCCAAGTAGTTAACAGTACCAGTTCTCCAGCCGTTGGGGCCATTGGGGATGGGGGGGTTGTTGGCGTTTGGCTCCACCATCTTCAGGAAAATGACAGGGGGATTGGACAATGAGCTCCCTCTTTGAGGTCGACGTCCGCCTCCTCTTGCTCTCTTTCATGCAACAAAGAGAGGTAATAGAATGTAGAGACTA